TTCGATTTTAATATTTTTATTCCAGCCGTTAACTGATGAATATAAGCCTTCCCCATAATGGAAGTTTTGGCAGTAGTTGCCACGCTTGGCAGGCAGGTTGGCAACCGCAGTTAGGCTTTTACAGATGTTTTAAGAGGGACACTGCTGCCTACGGTAAAAGAACGGGTGATCCATTCTATGCCGGGACCTACACGGCGATTACTGTTGCCAAATAATGATTGATATCGATATTTCGATTGGAGTTATATTCGATTATTATTAATAAATCGAATATAATTAACTAAAATACTATCAATTAATGTACATAAAGGATTTATTATTAGCAACCGATTACATTATTTTGAACTAGCCATCAATATAATCGATGGTATTGCTTGATTATTGGAATATTGCTTAAAACTTTGTGTAATTTTTTTTTTGCATTACTTTATATTTCTTATTTATTTTTCTTCTCTCTTCATACTATAGATTAATTTGAGAATATTGATATTAAACGTTAATTATATTGTTATGAGTGAAAACAACGAGTATCGATTAATTATGATCGATACCATCGTTTCTCTGTTAATCGATTTAGTATCTAGTGACGTGCAATGGAAATAGTACATGTAATGTTTGATTACCGATAATTTTGAAACACACGGAAAAACTTTTTAATGGATTTTAAATTGTGGACTGTAATGTCATTAGGTCAAACATAGTCAATCATGATACAAAGTATCACAGATATCCTCAACCTATAAAGAGTATAAATGTAGTAAAAACAAGTATTACTAATATTATAAACTAGTTGTATTTCTCTGCTTTACTTGTATAAATCGACATATAAAGTATCTTATGTGCTAAGTTAGGATATAACCTACTTGTATATAAAATTTTATGCAAATTCGTTTTGTAGTTTTTGCGTGAAATAGTAACAAATGTCCAGGCATCGATCAGTACAATCTTTCACATTTATTTTATTAATGCTAAACACTATAACAGCTTAAATAATCACTATAAAATTTGGCATATATGGGATTTCTACTATATGTACTATTTACTTATCGGATTTAGAAGAAATTTGGCTAATATTTTATCCTGGTCAGTGAATATACCCTGATGGCGGAAACTAGTAATTTATAACTTCCAATTATTTATATTTAACCGTAATAATTTGTTTATTACTTTTTAGTACTTTAAAGGTCCGACTCATTATAACGAAATTTGGTATACGTATAGCATTCGTGATGGAAAAAGATTTAGAGTACTTATCTTCATTACATAAACAGATATATAATTAATTTGCATCTCTTACAGTACATAAATAACATTAGATATTGGTACATATTTTAAAAAAAAAAAATAAAAGAATACATATATAAAAAAAAAAACAAAAAGAAAGTAAATAAAAGAGGTAACATAATTTTTCGCAAATGTGACAGAGTAACACAAAATGATCACAACTCATTTTATTGCTTTGCCCTCAAAAGAGCAAAACACTGACATTCTGTTGTGGCCAAAAGCCAGCTGGGCAAATTCTTGACAAAAAATAAATAAATAAATGATTTAAACTAATTAAGTGTGTCAATTATGAATCACTAATTATTATTTTAATTTCAATTTATAAATTAATAAATAAGAAATACCATTAGAAATAGAGTAGTCATTAATAAATTCCGTTCTAACAGAAGAAGTTGCGTTTAAAAATTAGTAACAGATAAGACCAGCGATCCAAGTCCACTATCACTGGCCAACTTACTAAATACCTGTCAAGTACTTAGTAACATACCTTTCAACTTTAAAACTTGATAATAACAAAAGGGAGTAAAGTTATCGGGTAGCTATCACCAGCGCAACTTTGAACTTTGTTACGAAGTTGTTACAGAAGGAAATTAATTGAATTATACTAATTTACATCCGACATACTACGCTCCGAGTAGATTCACAATCAATAAAGTAAATTATGGTATGCAATGACATTATGAAAATTTAAAATGAAGAACTTCCCATAAAAGAAATAATAATGTAAAAGTATAACTCTACCTAGTACCTACTATTCTGATTCATAGAATATAATGGAAAGGTCACCTAGTTTATATTTTTTTTATTTATCATACAAACATTCTCTTTAACTTTTGGATAATCATATATTAATGTTTCAATAATCTTCGTTTTTTTTTTATACAACTTAGAATGGCAAACAAGCTGACGGCCCACCTGATGGAAAGTGGTAACCGTCGCCTATAGACATGAGTAGTACCATGAACATAACAGAGTATACTGTTTCGTCCGTGATACCCCCCATGCGTTGCCATTCCTAAGGATTCAGGTGTTATTCCTATGTACCCAGTAAATTCATGCCATATCCCACCCTTCAAACTGAAACACAACCATGCAAACACAACTGCTTCACGGATGAAACACGAATGGTACAGAGGTACCCAAGCAATCGACATTTGTACAAAGTCTTCGTTGTACAAAACGGGCACGTTGCTTTGCGATAAGGAGTTTTCGGGTTCGATTCTTAGTCGGATCAACTTAGGAAACGAACATTTGTGAATTAGCTCGCATCTCGATGTTCAGGATGGTGCTCCCAAATGTCTAATACCTGACTCCCTTGAGGATCAGGCTATTGTTGTGGTTTTAGGCACTTTTAAAAATACAAAAATAAATGCTGTTCTCATTTCAATATTTTTCTTTGTTCCTATATATATATATATATATTCTTTCTTACACTTGTAAAAAAAGATACAACAAGTAGTTTGCAAGGGCAAGCTCATCTCTGAAGAGGTCTCTTCTAGCCAAATTAATGCAGTGAGAGATAAAATGATTAGCTGGCAATCTAGTATATATATATATATATATATATATATATATATATATATATATATATATATATATAGAACAACAAGCAGTACAAGGATAGATTATGTAATATATTATTATAGTCCTATAGATTTATTACTTACATAGATTATAATATAATACAATTATTTTCTAATTATTCTTGATTTAATAATGATTAAAGTTTAATATTAAATGGAAGGCTAGTGTAAGTTAGTTAAAAACAAACATAATCTTGAATTCATTGCTCGACTTAAAAATTACATTTCTATATGCAAATGGAACTATGCTTTCAGAAGACTGTCTAAACACCAGACGGCTCTAACATTCATTAACTGCGAATTTCATTATAGTTATGCTAATGATTAAACTAACAACTCACGGAACAGGAAATTGTATGAAAATTATACAATTTTCCTTAAATAACTTGTTGGAGTAGTTGCCATACTAATACAATTATTAGGTTTTATTTTTTTATTTTTACGTATGTATATTTTTTGTACCACTGTGGTGGTAAACAAGCATACGCTCCACCTGATGGTAAGCGGTTACCGTAGCCACAGATAATATAATACTATCTGTAGCCTATGAATGCCTACAATACCAGAGGCATTTTGCTCGTGTTAGATATTTATTTTAAATTATATTAATTTTCTTAAACATCTTGTGATAAAATGTGTACCTACATTTATCAATAAAAATCAGACTAACTACTTTAAATATAATAAAACGTTAAAATTGGTATTATACCAAAGTTGGTAATAAATTATTCTTGTAATGTATATAGAATACTAATTTATATTTTAATTAATTTTATAATTATTTATTGTCATGATACTTGAATAAAAAGTAATGAAATTGTAAGAACATGTGGTCTCGCTGCCTGTTCACTCGAATTCGGCCCTGTAGATATAAAAGGTCATTCCATGAGTATTTGTTTTTATAGAAGCTAGTCAAAGTGACCACGTCCCAGGTGATGGTAAGCAGATTATTTAGTCTAAACGTGAAGGTCGCCATCATAACAATTTATACTGTGTTGATGATAGTCATCTTGATAGCACACAAATGCAAATGAGGGGTCTTAATAAGACCAATAGGTGCCAAAATATTTTTTATAATTTTTGTCTAACAGTATGAATGTATGTTTATTCTGATATCACCCAAAAACCGCCGAACCAACTTGGATGCGATTTTTACGGTTATATTCTTGAAGCCCTAATTTGAACTTTGGTATATGCTTTATTTTGATACTCTATCTAGAAGTGGTTAAATTCATTGGTTTTCTTGCATCTGAAATGGTCGCTTACGAAATAGCACGCAAAAGCAAGTGCTATATAAAATTAACATAAAATTCGAGAGCGTATTGGACATGATTTAATAGTCTGTGCTTTATGAGTTAACATTTTAATTATGTATGTGATATAAGATAATGTTCTACTAAAAATAATTACAATCTTGACAAAATTAGTAGGGAACCAGTAGAAGAGTAATTAATAAAAAAAAAAAATTATCGTATTAGCCTCATAGTATCTTTGTCAGCTTTTTGATTAAAAAACGAGTGGCGTTCAGTATGCGTACAAAAAATAGAATATTTACATCATTATCGTTCTCAATTCAGGCATTATCTGTTCACTGCCGAATATAGGCATCCCTTATAAGAAACAGTCCTGAACCACCTGCATCCACTGACTCTCTGCAGTGCATTTGAGATCGTCACTCCAGTTAGTGGGGGATCGTCCTTCATTATATTACCCGTACGGGATCGCCACTAAGGAATCTCTCTTATCCATTATTTATATTTACTTTTTTTTAAATTGATTAATATCTAAAGCAATAATGATAATTAAAATTAGTTACATTAATAAGACATCATTTTGAAAGATAAAAGTTATTAACATCATAAAAAATTCAGCCTGAGTATTATTATAAAAATAAGAACTTTATTCTCGTGGTATTTGCTGTAAATCTTTATTGCACATACTTTACATTGGACACATAAAAAAAGATTTTACATACAATGGCGGACTTATCCCATAGAGGGATCTTTTACAGTCAACTTTTCAGATTGAAAGGAATCCATAGGATATTTGAAGGAGAAAATTATTACTCAAACATTTTTTTCTGATATTGTTGTCTATCCTACGTAGAACTTAATGAGGTACTCTTTGTTCCAGACTCTCAAATGACAACGAAGAAGTTTTCGGAAGAGCCCGAATTTGAACGCCCAATCGGAAATCACACTTTCTTCTTAGGCAGAGAAGCAGTGCTTGGTTGTGCTGTTTCCAATCTTGGAAAGCATAAAGTAAGTATTCGCAGATGCTTAAGTTTATTGATGTTAGAGCTATAACTTTTACTGCATTGTGTATGCAGTAAAATCATAGATCTAATGTGAAGAATAACTGTTTTCCAAGGACTTTTTATGCATATATATATACACACACATATATATATCAATCTGTATTTATATGTTACTGTATTTCACTTGAATTATTTAATTGTCATTGTATATTTTTATGTTTCTGGTGCAATAAAGAGTTAATTAAATAAAATAATAAATAACTCTCTATTTCTGATAACGTGGTCAATATCAGATGATGACAATTCTCATCACTTCTTCTCATTACCATATCATCATAAAGCATACTAAATCAGTAAAAGATAAATAATAAATTAAAAATCCTATCAATTTCATAAATTGGCATTCTTTATTTATGTATTTATATAATTATTTATTTTATGATAATTTGTTTTCCTTGTACCTATATTTATATATGTCCTAGTATTAGGTACATACGTTATTTAACATATATGTACAGGATTATATATTGTAATATAGTTTATAATTTTATTTTTTAATTCGATAAAGGTACTTTTTTAATTATACAGTACTATCATACCTACTTGTACAACAATTAGTCAATTACCCTAAGGTTGTCTTGGAAAGATCAATAAGACCGCCTTACTGTACTCATACAATTATATCGTTGTATTTGTAAATTGTCTTGCTTATTTCCTATATTGTATAATGCGAATAGAGTATACTCATTCACTCATTCACCCAAACAGTAGTACTAATATTCTCTTCTGATAAAGAAGGTGATATAGCCAGTAGTCAGGTGTTATATGTAATGAAGAAGTTCAAGGTGAGACATATCTTCCGCATTGAAGTTTCATCGATATCAAGTTAAAAAGTGGAGACTGTTCTCGAATGGCACAGACTAATAATTGATTAATAGGCCTGGATACTAAATTATTTACACGCTTAATTATTCCATCATTAGCTAATTATTCTGTTGACTTTGCCAGGTCAAAAGTACATAGTTTAAGTTTATTGAAAATCAATCTTTTGTAGTGATAATTGAGTCCGTGATGTTTAGGTATTCTGACCTCTTTAGGGTTCAAGGAGGGGACAAGGAGAAAGTTGGAGTAATTCGAATCGTGGTACGATATTGTTTGTCCATCCATCTTCAGCTATTATTATCATATCAGCCACTGGCCACTGCTGAACATAGTCCTTCCCTATAAGGGAGTGTTCAACAGTATTTTCCACGCTTGGCAGGTGTATTGGCACTTGCAGTTTTTTTTTGATGGGTGAAAATGGTATGGTTACCCCGCCTGCGCTAACGGGATACGCTGGCGGAGCACCAGTGAAGGATGATAGATGAGAATGAAAACAGGCCAGTTAGCCCATCATGATGAATTCATCAGGAATTAACCATTATAGTTTCCAGGGAGAACCGCGAGAAGGTCGACCTGGTTGGGTATATTGCTAGCAATGGGATTCTCAGTCTCCATTACTAACAGTCCTTTTCTCCCCGGCACTTGCAATTAGGCATACGTCTAACTAAAAAAGCTATCAATTTGAGATTTGGTATACCAAATTTCAAAAATTGTACTTTTACATATAGTTGGCCCACACAATTTGCAATGGAAATAAATAAAAAATATTTTGAATTTTTTCATTAGAAGGTCTAAAAAAAGTACTCAAAATTTCAGAATCGATCTAATAGTCTAAATCGGATATTATAGAAAAGGCTCATTTATGTAACACAAGTTAACAAAAACATAAAGGAAAAAAATATCTCGTCATAGTCGTAGAATACTGACGGATCTGACAAATATTACATATAAAGATCATACATATAAATACATATAAAAAGATCCGTCAGTATTCTACGGCAATGACGATCTGTGGACCAAATATCCTTCATCAGTTCAGACTAAAAGTATGAGTACTACTAGTTTACGATGTACAAACAAATACACAAAATACAATCTCTTTTTTATATAAACAAAATTGATTGCTTCAATAAGAAAATATATCTATATATATGTCTATATATATGTATAATGGGAATTGTATGAACTTACTAAGTTTGCGTTTCGACTTCAATTGTTTCGACTTCATCCAGAAGTCTTCTTCGGGAAAAGAACGATGCTTTACGTCACAACGTGTCGTCTCGTTCTCTTTCCTTCTTTCTCGTCTCTCCTCAAAAAGACTTCCGGAGGAAGTCAAAACAAATTTATCGAAAATGACAAACATAATAATTTCACAGAATTCCCATTATACATATAAATTTCGTTAAAAAATGAACATAACATTTAAAAATAAAAAAAATAAAATACATGTAACTTTTTATTATTTACACTACATAGGTTTCCGCTTCATAAAATCACAGTCATTTCCCTGAAATTCTATATGTAACAACAAATTGAAACTGTCTTCAAATAAAAAATCAATTCCTACCTGTTTACAATTCTGAGCTTTATCACAATACGAATAGAATTCATTGACTACAAAATTTTAAACAACCAACAAAGCTATTATAAAATAAAGTTAATATTTCCATTGGATACCTTTAAATTTATTAATATGAAATTATAAACACGGCGAACAATGAATATTGCCTTAATGGATAGTCAAAATTAACGTACGGTCACATTGTATGGGCTTAATGACCAATAACCTGATAGGAGCCATTACTTGGAGGTAATAGAAAACGATTTTCAGTCCAAGCATTTACGACATTAGTGGGATAGAATGTTTTTACATTACTATTAGCAAGAAGTAATGTACCGATATCCTTTACAGATTTTTTTTATACAACTTACAATGGCAAACAAGCTGACGGCCCACCTGATGGAAAGTGGTAATCGTCGCCTATAGACATGAGCAGTACTATGGACATAATAGAGTATACTTTTTCGCCCATGATACTCTTCATGCGTTGCCATTCCTGAGGACTCACGTGTTATTCATTACGTCATTGCTAGTTTTTACCTGTGACTTAATTTGTGTAATCATAAAATGTTTAATGTTTAATATTTATCAAATACAAGGCATGTTGTAGTTGCCTATAAATGTAAGAACAGTTACATCTAATCTACCAGTGTATTGTATTGAAATGTAATATCTTATGTTGGTAATCATATAAATAAATAAATGTTCAGTGACTGGAACAAAAAGTATCCTATATTGTCTCCTTAAATTTTCATTATAGAGTCTCAAAACGGGTCAGCTTTTTGTCAGCTAATTATTTCATTTTTTATCAATATTTCTATTGGCAGACGAGAAAAGTAGCAGTAAATAGCTAGTTATTATTAGATATATTATTAGCGTTATTTTAAGAGAGTATTACACTGGTGAAACTAAATACTTACATACAGAACTCACTTTCATTAGTAGAATACTTAATTAAAACGACGCCATTATTTCTATTTCACTACATGTATATATATATATATATCAATGATATCTCTTCTCTCTAACTACATTCAAACAAACTATAATTAACTACTAGTTTTGGTTCGTTACTGAACTACTATACTATACTATAATAATGAAAGTTAAAAACTTTCTTTAAAATTAATTTTTACTTACCAGAATTTGTTTTCATTGTTAGCTTTTGTAATGTCTATATATGTCACTAAACAAATTATTTTTCTTTCTTTCTTTCAAAATACTCGCAAGATTGAATATAAGAGTTCTATTTGGAATAAGTTCTATGTATTTCGCCATATGGTCCCGGCATAATTGTAGCCAATCCTTCCTTTCCTGCAGGTGTCGTAAGAGGGGACTAAGAGAACATAATGGTTGAGGGATAGGTAGCAGTGCCCCTCTTAAAACATCACCAAAGCCTAACAGTGGTTGTCAACTCGACTGCTAAGCATGACAACTACTAGCAAAACCCGTTTATGCGAAAGATATTTACAGCAGTGGACAGTTAACAACTGATATGATGACGGTGATATGTTTTACTTTATATAATAAATTCCTCTCTTTGTGTTATATAATAATTTTAAACAAAATGAATGGGTCCATTACTGCTATGAACGTTAACAAGTAAACATTACTTGATGTCGAAGAAATCGATGTTTTAAGAAAATGTTGTATGCATCTGTAATTGGTATATATGACAGTATATGCAAGCACTGTATATCAATTAAAATTTATGTTTGTATTTACACTGTCGATGTATTTTAAAATAAATAAACAGATAGAGTAAATATTTAAAAAAAAAACGAATAATTTCAGTGACAAACTTTTTGGTCTTAAAAATGTTAATAAGCAATGCACAATATCGCGTAATGTTTCAATTTACATATTAATAAGCAACAATATTAATTAAATGCCCCAATAAAACCCCCTTTTTACGACAATGATACGAATCAAAATAAAAGTCAGACATAATTCACGTTGATAAATTATTTTTTAACATCGCAAATTGTTGGTTTTCTGTTAAAACACGTTTATTGTATGCGAGTTAATAAAACCATTTTATGATTTCAGTTCCAAAGTCCACAACCGAGCTCACATAAAAATATTATGAATAGGTTAATTGTATAAAAGTTAAACAGCGCTTGAATCACCAAATTCTAGGTATTTCCTTTTAAAATCAAAAGATAGACGAATTTTAATAATAATAATTATACTAGTTCTTGTATGTTAAAAAGAACCGGCTTTCAATACATAGTTCACCCTAATCTGAAAGCCAAGATAAAATACGAATATGTAATAGTACAACCATGTATTTGTTAAGAAAGATTTGTTGAAATTTATTGCCATTCATCATCTTCCTACCCTTATCTCAAATATTATTTGGGGTCGGCGTAATATGGTTTTATCCATATTACTAAAGGATTTGGCGTATAGTTTTGCGACCAGCCGCCTGCCTGACGTCAACCCTCTTTGGGAATGCATTTGTTGGTGGTTTCTGCTACCTACGGTTTGGAGAAAAGGATTGCGGAAAAAAGGAAAGGAACGTTGGAAATGCGTAAAGGAAATTATTTAATGAGAGGAAT